CCCACCTCAAATTTCACCCCTTCCACCCTCACTGAGACAAGCTCACATCCCACGACGGGGCTATAAGAACAACTAGATTGGGAATGTAATATGAACAGGGCTTTGTGGAGTTGAGCAAGGGCGTATTAAGTCTGTGTTAGCGGTATCATACATATCAGTCATTAAAGCTCATCCAAGCTCCTCCTACATTGTCCTAAGGAGAAGCTCAATTGGTTTTCAGGATTTTCCTTTTGTCTACCTGTTCCCCAACCCCAAAAGTTGCTATCTTTTGCCAGGCAGCCCGATCTTTCTTCTTCCTTTTGCGGTTTTTTTTCGATTTCTTTGATCTGCCCTTGCCCTTCTTTCTAGAGCGTTTGCGACCCTTCCTCCTCTTTTTGTGACGCGGCCGTGCGGTGGCTGTCTGTAAAAAGCAGCGAGAAAGACAGGCTGAAGCAGAGGAGATGTACAAAGAGAAATAGAGGGGGGAGGGGAGGGAGAGGCAGACGCAGGGCGGGGGTCAGGGGCAAGAAAGTGTCTGATGAGACCTCAATCTTTTATTGTGAGGGATATGGACACGTTCATTGAACAGGGACGGCCACTATTCGGGCAATTTGTAATTGTAGTTCAAGATGGGTCAAGGCTAGAGAGACAGTTGTCCTAGAGGCTCCAAAAATATAAAGATTAATCCCTTCATTTTCCTTCTTTGATGGGGTGAGCCTGTTACCCGTCCTTCACTGCCCTTGACCTGGTGTCCCATTTCAGAGGTTAGTTAAGAGTCAACCACACTGCCATGTGTAGTGACTGTAACGTGGTCAGCCGGATGGACCTCACAGAATATGATTTCCCTGCTTGAGGCTGTTAATCTGGTCCAATCAGGGAGCGCTGACTGACAGATAAAAAGAGGAGTGTTAGAAGTTCTGTTCACTCTGAGAGCTGACTCTGAAGAAACTAGAGTCAAGGACTGGTCATGTATCAATAAAAGGTGACTTGGTGATGGGATACAGGCCTCTGTGGAGATTTGTCACTGTGGGTCTGGAGTCAAATGTAGGCCAGACTGGGTAAGGACAGCAGATTTCCCACCTCAAAGGACATTAGAGAAGCAGATGAGTTTTTTGTACGACAATCAATGACAGCTGCCTGGTCGCATTACTGAGACCAGTTTTCAATTTCAGGTTTTAACTTATGGATTTATTTTAAATTCTACCAGCTGCCATGGTGGGAGTTAGATCTGTGTCTCCCAGAACGTTAGCCTGGGTCTCTGTGGATTACTAGTCTACTGAGAGTATCACAAACTCTCTATGCCCAAAACCATCTCATCTGAGATGCACTAACAGCAAATACCAAATGAAAATCCTAAGATGCATTAAGGTCATCACTCTGCTTTCCTTGAATTATTGAGTTATAAAAATATCGGAGCTGTAAAAACGTTATTTGAACATCAGGCAAGATGCTTGGAGGTAGAAAGCCCGGCTCTGGGAATACATCCAACGATGTCTCGTTGCCAAACACGTGTGTGAGGCCAACCACACACAGGTTTTGAGGAGTATCTTAAAAGGGAGAGGAGGGGGTGCAGAGAGATTTAAGGAGGGAATTCCAGAGACTGGCAAAAGGCACGGCATCAATAGTGCCAATGTGATTGAGGGAGGCGCATGTTTTGAGGAGGAAGGCAAAAGAAAAAAGGTTGAAAGGATGAGATGTTCAAGGAGCAAACTCCAGAGTTTAGGGCCCACAGTCTCCTGATTGTGCAGCATCTGAAATCAGAGAGCGACTAGAGGGTGGCATTAAGGGATGAGGCACATTACAAAGGTAGAGAGACATGAGGCAATGGAGGGGTGTGAATACAAAAACATCACAAATTTAAAGTTGAGGCATTGCCAGAGTAGGTGACAACTCACGACAGTAATCACAGGCAGTGATGGGGGAGAGGGATTTGCTCGAAATCAGCAGTGTTGTTGAGGACCTAAACTGTTTATGGATGGTGGAAATTGGGTAGGCAGGGAGCGTTGGAGTATCTGATAATGGTGCCAGACAACCTGATAAGGAGAGGGATTGGATGGAAGTCAGCAGGAGTAAGAAAGAACAGGTGCCCTGAGAAACCAGGAAGGTAAATGAAGAAGAGGGCACTACTGAGAGAAATGATGGAATGGTAAGAGAAAGGTTTGGAGTGAAGAAGGTTCAGAAGGCTGAATGATCAAATGAGGGGGAAGGACTGGCTCAGAAAGATTGCCTTTCCCCTTTTGGAACTGTGCAGGATTTCTGCAGTGCTGCTTTACTGAGGGTTGTTGAAGACTCACATTTAGTACCAACCTGTGAACAAGAAGCATGTCACACATAGACAGAAACACAATTCAATCCAAGTCAGGAGGAATGGAAGGCGGGGAACAGGAGGATTCCCCTTCCACCTTGGCTCCCTTTCCAAACTGGACCGTAACCTGGAAGGTGGGGTTATAGGGTTTGCCAGGAACACTAGCTCCTTGGGAAGCTGACAGCGGTAACCATTTATGCCCTGATTCTAACCACATGTGAAGATACAATGGCTTACCCTGAAGCAGGCTTCATATTAAGGCTCTGAAGATGCCATTGTTTCAGACCCCTTCGATATCCAGAAGGTGTCCTTTCTGCCCATCGGGTATGTTCTGCAGGATCAGAGTGGGTTATAGTTGTAGGGGGCACTTTAAATGCACACCCCCACATTGTCTGATTTCAGCCACTTTCTCCCCTACCCCCAGCTCCTGATTCTTACAGCCAGCTGCTTGAGTGATGCCGTTAGATATTGATGGAGGAAACAACTCAATGGTTACTTAAAGCTCTGGGCATGGGGGTGAGGTGACATTGCTTCACTCACATGGTCCAGTCACAGGGAGATGGAACATAAAGTCAGGCTCTAACATGAGGACGAGATGGACAGCAGTGAGACATACCACCCCCGGACCCCCCTCACCCCCTGGAGGAGACAGTCTCATCCTATTTCACACCAAATTCAGGCCAGGCTGTCACTAATCCCCACTCATCCACAGACCTAAAACAATGGTGGCAGGGCTCAACTTGTTGAGTGTGAAAAGTAGCAGCTACAAGACCAAGAATAAAAAGATCAAAACAGGAAGTACTGCAGAATCCCTGCAGGTCTGGCAGGGTTCCGAAGAAGAGTAATCCTGGACTTGAAATGTTAACTCTGTTTCTCTCTTCGCAGAAACTGCCAGACTCTGCCGTTGTTTGAGCCAAACACTCGCTGTAGGACGCTTTCCAAACTGGGAACAAGCAGAGGGGAACTGCAAAGACATACCCTCGAGACCATCTTGTAATATTTAGGTTTCTAATCGAGAGCTCCGAGTGTTTGAGTACTCGTGCGACTTCTCTTGACATAGTTAAGTTTCCACTTGCTGGACTCCAGTCATTTCCCTTGAAATTACATCAAGCCCCAGCCAAAGGCAGATTCACTTAGGCAATTCGGCCAGGATGGCTGAGCGGGTGCACTGGCCATTTGCCTGACCCTCTCATTCTCCGTCGAGTTGGAGGGACGCAAAGATTTCGGACAGCACCAAGTGGCGAGAGCAGATCAGGAGCACACTCACCTCTTCCTCGTAAACGGGCTCTGGGAGCCGCAGGGCGTAGGGTAGAATGCTGTCGCAGTCGGGGATGTAGCGATCACAGTAGCTGTAAGCTGCTTTCGGGTCCGGGCTCAGCAACAGCTGCTGGATATCACCCTGAAAGAAGACGTGGGAAGGCAAAGTATCATACAGGAAGGTCACAACAGAGGTACAGTGTCACAAAACACCCGTAGCACTACTACCCTCATGCTATGTACCCCACCAGACATGGGGCTGATTGGGGAGCGGCGTTATGGAACAGACTAAATCCCTCTAAGTAGATTGAGAAGCTAGTCTAGACACAAACTTATTTTTCTTATTTAAAATCGAGTGTAAGGTGTTGCGTTCCAGATGCAATTCAATTGGTCAAACTACCAGGCTTGAAGCAAATCACACTTTTTTCAAACACCAATGTTAAAATACAGACAAAATTAAAATGAAAGAATTGGCTTAGCTGTAACTGTATTGAAATGCTTAACAAAATCATATATATATTAACGAATACTAGTTACGTGTTGCAATACAGTAACAGCCCATAAACACACACTTGGCAAAGGCAGATTCAGGAAAGCAGATTGTCTCACATGCAATTCTAGCAGCAGGAAGAGAACCCCAAGTTTTAGCTTCAGCAAAGACAGAGAGAGGAATATGAGCTTCCACATCCAGCTTCAACACTCCAGATGGATGTTTCCTGATATTTAACCTTTGTCCTCATTTAACCCTTATTTCCAGTTTGTTACTTAACTGCTACTCAAAGCTAAAACTAAAATTAAAAATCTTGGTTTCTGTGGGAACTTGACCCCACCTTTCAGGCTGCTTCTATTGTTCCAACTTTAAAAAAAAACCCAAGGCCTCACAAGCTGTTTATTGGCTTTGAACAGACTGCTCAGTACCTCTGTCTCAAACTTTCTTCACAAAAAAAGGATAAAATGCACCTCTTAAAGCCATAGTATTATCACAGTGGCCGAACACGTTCTGCTTTGAATCATAAACTGACATGATAACCCCCTCTTGTGGATGTGAATGTTAGATACAGCTATTCTGGTTTGCATCAAAGCACCACAAATCCCATCAAATACCTTCACCGTTACTTTGCTGTCACGGTACGTGGCACCTTCTCCTGCTCTTCATCTCTCAAACCTCAACACAACTGGGAAGAACTCGTCAATCTTCCTTGTAAACTCAGCGGCCTTTGATAATCCAAGCTTAGCAGTATCTAAGTCACTACTTATACAGCACAGGGGGAGGCGATGGGCCGAGTGGCGTTATCGCTGGACCATTAATCCAGAAACCCAGGTAATGTTCTGGGGACCTGGGCTCGAATGCTGCCATAGCAGATGGTGGAATTTGAATTAAGTAACAAACTGGAAATAAGGGTCAAATGAGGACCATGGTTAAATATCAGGAAACACCCATCTGGTTCACTAATGTCCTTTGGGGAAGGAAATCTGCCATCCTTACCTGGTCTGGCCTACATGTGACTCCAGACTCACAGCAATGTGTTTTACTCTCAATTCTGGACTCTTTTTTTAATTCATTCATTCGCAGGACGAGGGGTATTGCTGACTAGGCAGCATTTATTGCCCACAGGGCAGTTAAGAGTCAACAATCGTTGAAAAAGGCTTTTGAGAGTGAATGAATCTGCCAGCACATTTAGCGCGCAGAGTTATATCTTATCATCAGGTTTCAGTCGGAGAATAGAGGCTCCAGCTTTCACACTGCACACTCACAAAACACAACATGGAGAAGTAATTAGAGTCTGTGGGGATTCTCCCTGTCATCAATCATTCCAGTCTCCCCGGAGTTAAGAAGCACAACATATTTTCTGTGCTGATTCAGCTTCGCCTGTTTATGAACCTGTTCCCACAGAGTTTCCTTCTCTCCTCTCCTCCCCCAAAAGCTTCCCTTTTTCCCCATTTCTGGAATTGTTTTTGCCTCCGCATGCCATTCGGAAGGTGTCGGACAGAAATGCCGCTGAGAATCTCGAGGTTAGGCCTCACATCCGCAAGAGGCTGGGCATTCAGCTTTCAGAGGGAAGCAAACAAGGCAAGGCTTTGAGAACTGGGGTGGCTTTCCCTTTTAAATTAACCCCTACATTGCCAAGGGTGGGGGGAGCCTCGCATAATCGTCGGTCTGCCCGCTGGGAGCAGACCGCTTTGCAGGACAACCGTACCAGTCGGTTATAACCATCACAAACTTTACCATCCATTTATCTCATCAGAACCAGCCACTTCAGGCCTCATCAAATCTGAGAACATGGCAGTGGGAAATCACTCAATGCTGTCAGACAATAAAGGGTAAAGTCTCTGTACTGCTGTGCATCGATGCCTTAACCGGAGGGTCACCATGCCCCAGGCAGGGGGGAGAGGTTGAGAAGGAGAGTCCTTCATGGTACCATCAGCTGGCGCTGGAGTTGAACCCACCCTGTTGGCATCACTCTGCATCATAATCCAGCCAACTGAGCTAAGTGATAGCACACACCCTCCCGCACCCTCACAACCTCCATTTGGCCGAGTGACTAAGGGTCAGCTAAAGGCAAGTACCACAGTGTGGCAGTAAATCCTAGACCTTTGGAGCACGAAGACCAGAAGGAGGCTATTCAGCCCCTCAAGTTTGTTTGCTATCACCTGCACCACAACTCAGGGCAGCACAGTGACTCAGTGGTTAGCACTGCTGCCTCACAGCGCCAGGGACCTGGCTTCGATTCCACCTTCGGGGACTATGTGTGTGTGGAGTTTGCACATTCTCCCCGTGTCTGTGTGGGTTTCCTCCGGGTGCTCTGGTTTCCTCCCACAGTCCAAAGATGTGCAGGTTAGAGTGCATTGACCATGCTAAATTGCCCGTAGTGTACAGGGATGTGAGGGCTAGGGGGCTAGCTGTGGGAAATGTGGGATTACAGGGATAGGCTTGTGGGTCTGGGTGAGATGCTCTTCGGTGGTGGGGGGTCAGTGGGCTCAATGGCCTGAATGTGAAGTGCCCTACAATGTCCCTTCATCCCTGAAAAGTTGCTTCATAAATGTGACAGACTCTATCAAATTGACCTCGCTCTGTAGCTATGTATTTACACCCTGAAATTTAATCGATCCTTTATAATTATTTTTCTTGAATGTAATACATTCTTGTTTTACTGGCAAACCATCCTGAGTCTATTGCTTGTTTCCCTGCTGAGATTAGCTACTCAGGAAAGGCCAGGAATTGATTTGGCTTCAGCTCTGTGTACAGAGCGCCCTGGCTTTAAATGATTTTCAGACCAGTGCATTCCTTTATATTCCAAGGGGCCAGAGGACACATTTATTTGCACAGCAAACACCAAGGAAGATGTTCCCTCTCTTCCTCCCCTGGGAGCTGGGGAAAATGCTCCGCAGATTTCAGCATTGGCCACTCTTCATCGATTGGCAGGCTATTTGGCTAAGGGTGGCATCAGTCAACATGGCACAAATGTATGCAGGAGATGACCAGCATACACATGTAGGCAGTGTATGCACAGATAGACACACAGACCCTGATAGTGACAAGCATGTGCACACGCATACACACTGACAATACCTACACACACACAAACACTGGTAATACACACATACACAGGTAATATGGATAGAAACAAGCACTGCAACATACATTCATACACAGACATGCAAGTGTGCGTGCACACACACACACACACACACACACGTAGAAAGTTGAGCAGACACAGATGCATGCAAAGACAGACTCTGAGAGCAACACGCACAAGCAGTGATAGATACACACAAAAAGGTGAACACACAAACACGCACACATAGATACATGTAAAGACAGACAGATATATCCTCAGTGACATATGCAAGGGCAGACATACATAAATGCAAAAAAGAGACACACATACATAGGCTCACATGTCAATACACACAGGTATCACTGGATAGGGATTTCCAGAAGTGGTTTACTTTTCAATTCAGCCTTTCATTTTCCCTGAAGGCAATTCTTGCTTTGTTCATGCAAGAACAAACCCCAAACTTTACCAGAAAGAGAGTTGGTTAATGTGGGGAATCAATGTGTTGCAATTTCATACCTGGGAACTAAGATCCAGTCCAGTCAGTCTTGTACATTAATTCACTTTACAATTGAAGCAAAGAGCCTGCCCTAGGCACAGTGATAGTCAGCAAAATGCAGAGAGACAAATCAAAATCAGAAAATTTTAAAAAACCTCTTGAACCTTGGTCTTTAAAATTCTGAGAAGAAATTAGGCCCTTTGTCAAATATTTAGTCACTGACTCAATTAGAGTCGAAAGATCAGAGCATAGAAAGCCCCCTTTGTTCTCTCTTGGCCCACTCATGATCAAGTTACACTATTTATTGGAAGAGTCGAAAGGATTTCATGCTTTGAATTTGTACAACTTGCCTCCATCCCACCCTCCAACTCCCGCACTTCATTTCAGCAACTACAAACATTAGAGAGCAACACAGGGATGTAGAAATTCCCTGGAACTGAGAGCTAATTATGATCCTGCACCTGCACCACATAACGTGGGAGCCTGGGTTTCCAAATATTTTTGCCGGAACATTAGGATCTCTTGTCTCCGAGCATTCAGGAAAGGGCAGGACCAGAGGAACGGAATTCCCGGGGAAAACAGGAGCCATAAATAAACGAAGTGCAAATCTCCAAGAACAGAGGAGGGAACAGCTCTTGGCAGATCAGAAAGGATCAGAATCCAAAGCTGTCAGTTGGAACTCAATGGCACAGATAAAGTCATTATTCAGGATTCTAGTTAAAAAACTATTTCTCTGTTGCTCTGGGAGGGATACAACACAACTTCAGGGTGATGTTAAATGCACTGGTAAATACGGTGATAAATGGCAAGGGCTGTGGACTAGTAATCCAGGATCCCAGGGGACACAGTTTCAAATCCCATCATTGCAACCAACAGAATTTCAGGATAATTACTATATCGGTAATTATTAAGCTCAACTAGGTAATGGTGAGAACAATCATTGATTGTTGTAAAATTTTATCCAGTGCATAATGGCTTGGTTTGACAACTGCTCTGCCCAGGACTGTTAGAAGCTACAGAAAGTTGTGTGCACAGGGCAGACCATTACAGAAGCCAACCTCCCATCCAAGGACTCCATTTACACCT